AGTAGTCATTAAAAGCATTGCTTAACCTTTTCCACATTTTAGTCACTGTTTTCATTATAGGAATGGACTTGGGGATAAGAACCCCCACAGTGACCTCACAAGGTCTATGCAAGTATGTTGTCCCATTGAACTTAGATCTTGTGATCTCCAGTCAACTAAGTTGGGTTTTCCTTCAATAGCGCCTTAAATATTAATGGGCTTTAGTCACATTCCTTTCGATGTTTATTAAGTTAATCTCGATTCAACTCATTGTTTAGCGGATCCACAATGTTATGTTTTGATCTTACAAAATCAATATAGATAACTCTAGTTGAGATCAGTTGTTTAATGATATTATGTCGACGACGTATTATACTTATACAATGCACCCCCACACTTTGATGTAGTTGTAGGAAAATTTTCTACATTTCCATAACTCATACGGTGTCTCACCTATTTTCTTGTAAGTTACCTTATTTAAAGGTAATTTGCTAATAAAATAGCTTCCTTCACATGTTCTGTGACAACTCAGAACATGACCAAATGTCATTCATAATTCTTTAGCGATCTTATGGATACTATACACTTCATATGGTGTATCTGACAATCCATTCGAGATGTAATTCCGACATAGAAACTTAGAGTGCTTTCAAGCTTTAATGACAACAATGTCTATCTCATCTTCTCTATGAATAGGAGGATCATCTTATATTTGATCATCTTATATTTGACCATATTCAGCATGATTAAATATAATATCTTATCTTGTTATGTCTTGAAATTCTATCCATGAATTTCACATGCTTCTCGTTGTGACTCACAACCACTGACATCGTTGAATTTTATTCAAAGTCTGAATATGAATCAACATTTCAAATCACGAGTTAGGTGAATCAGTGGGGTTACCATTGTAAATATTCCAACAATAAATTGAAAGTTAATTCAATTTATTTTACCATTTGTTTATGTTGAACAACAAAATTTAATTAGAAATTAAAATTCTAAAACAAAATTTGTAACAATTTTGTTACCTCCAAACGATTTCTGTTATCAACAGTAAATCAAATAAATTTTGTTGAACAACAGGATTAAAATCCTGAAACAGAATTATAGGCCCGATTTTTTTTCACATAATTTTATTCGGTACCTTATTTATCGTAACGAATTTTAGTCAAAACTAAAATCCAACAATTGAGTAATTTCTGTTAAACAACGGGAATTTAGTAAAATTAAAATCCCGAAACAGAAATTCACAATCAACAATATTTTTGTTGAATTCATTAAACGTCAGGATTTAGTAAAACTAAAATCCGAAACAAATCAACTTATGTTGGACAATGGGATTAAAACCCGAAACATAACCACTTTCTTTTGAACGACGAGAATTTAATAAATTAATTCTCGAAACAGAACTAATTTCTGTTAAACTGTGGGAATTTAATAAAACCTGAAATAGTGGTATAATTTCAATGTATAAATATTATAAAAAAAATATTGAATGGTTACACATACCTTTTCGATTTCTTTATCGCAATTCACCGTTCGTTAAAAAAATACGAGCCTTATCAAGTTACTCCAAGGTTTGTCTTTAATTTTGAAACCTGCAAAATGTTTCATAGCAAACTTGAAAAGGTTTTGCAAAAATTTTCATATGTACCTTATCATCGAATCACCAAGTATTTAACCATCGACAGGCGTAATGGTTAAAAAAACAAATTCTGCACGGGGTGCAAACTCCAAATTACTTTTGGAACTTACTTTGACATGCAACCTGCAAAGATATACCAACGTGTCTTATCATTGCACAATGATTAATGAACAAAAACACACATGCCTTTGCAATTTAGTGATTCATGCAAAAACAATATCATTTGCAAGTTATCCATGTAAACTAGAAGTTGTGCCAATTCACTCGACTTAAGTCTCCAAGGCTGGTTTCAATGATGAGGCTCGTAGACTCGACTTAACCGTGTAATCTCTAGTTCGAATTCCAATGTTGTTGCAAACCGTGCTAACCAACAATTCCGAATGAGTTGTAAATCTCCCTCTAGTGTTTGTCTTGATTTAAAAATCAATAAATCACTCGTTCATATATCTCGAAATAGAAAAAAATATTAGAATCTGTCTTAAGATTGTTAGACAAAATGGTTAATCCGAGATAAAATAATAATAATAATAATAAATATTATTATATAATCGAACGAAGCAAAATAAATAAAACTTAAAGTTGAGGCAATAAATTGGTTTACTCATATTTAGACAATGAATCGGATGAGTAGGGTATGATAAACCGAAGAAGTATTTTTGTTGAGGCCTGTATGAACAGTTTCCTTAAGACAGATTCGTCCTCTCCTCGGTGCTTTGAGTAACGTTGGACGTCGGTCTCCCAGGATACAACAACAAACGATCACAACAGTAAGCACAACCGTAGTGATCAGTCAAATACAATCTTGCCTTTCTCTATCACCGGAAGAACGAATTTAAAAGGAATTTTCTAAGTGATTTCCTAATTCAACTTTGTGAATTGTGTCTCAAAGTTGTCTATCAAAGTTGTGTCTAAGATTGTGTCTCAACTAACCTATATATAGGGGAGAGGAAATTAATCAAAAGGTTATGATCTTTTGATGAAGAGATTTGTTGAAAAGCTAATAGATATAATTGAATTGATGCAATTTTATACCAAATAATAAAGCTGTTCACCAAGTGACATAACTTATTAACATCAATTTTATTCAATTATTTATTAATTTTTCCAACATGTACTCCTTAAAAATCTTTGGAAATCTAGTTCCACCACAACCCTGACAATTCCATGTTAATAATTTAAAATCCATAATAAATAAAAGAGAAAACAAACCTCTACTGGTTTGTACTAGTATCCATAACAATCGGCTCAGTTTCCTTGACTTGGAACATAAGATTGCCCTCGACGCTTTGAATAACCATCTGCATGGCATCTTGTATAGTCGGTCTTGTGGGACCACTCGGTTTAATCTTCACACCTTTATTTCGAATAGCATAAGGTGATGCACGTCATTTAGAAACTATAGTTTTACGAGAGGATGAAGGGGCATGTTAGAGCCATTACCACCACCTTAGTTCTCCTCGTTAAAAGCAACCACCAAATGATTTGTAGAGTCCAGGGATGAATTCACAAGTTGACCATGAACGCCTAAGGTGTTCTAGAAAACGGGGTTATTACTAGATAAGAAATCAGAACCATGTACCTCGACCACCTCGTCGTTTCGAGTAAACCCCGCTTTCATGGTTTCGCATGGAGTACGAGGGCTCTCATCTTGCATGGGAAGCATCACGTGTGTGTGGCTGCTTGGAAAGACTTGTTTCTCAGCAATTAAATGTGAGTTATTCCCACTGGGGTCCACCCCATAGGATGGAATTTTTGTCATGGTCCCTACCTTGTCTTGGATTCTTGCCTGGGAACAAGACTTTCAGCCATTATTGCCTGCAGAAGAGTTACCAAGAATAGAGGTGATATGTTTACCTTTGTCCTTGGATTGTGTTAATAAAACGATATTATGAGTAATAGAATCAAGTTTAGAAATATCCTGATTATTCTCCTGTGATAGCGCCTTCTTCCTGTTTTTGTTCGGTGTTTCAATTAAGATCCCATATCTCGATCCTGTTTTCTTAGATGCTTTGGTTAATTCTGGTTTTTGAGCTTTTCCCACTTGATTTCTCCTTCGGCGCTTCTGGACAATCTTCCAAGGACTATATTGTTCGTCACCCGGTGAAACGTTAACGGTCTGAGCGATTATGTCAGTCTGGTTTATATCAATAGCTGTCTGGTTGTTGCGAGCGCTATCAGGGACGCTAAAAGTATTTAAACCTGAATTAACCTCCACTTACTGCTTAGAAACATGGGAACAACCGTCCCTAAGGTGGCCAAACCTGCCACAAGAAAGCATACCAACGGAAGATTTTCATATTCGACTACTTGAATCTTATTCCCGACAACCACCCGAGACACAAGAGGTTTCTTAAGGTCGACGTAGACTGCTATTCTGGCAAATCTCCTTCTGTTGCTGGTTGCACTATAAAAATCAAGCTTGGCTACCTTACAAACTAAATTCCCAATTCCGTACAAAATTTTCCTCTTATACATATATTCTGGTAATCAGGGAAAACGAATCCAAGCGATCACATTTGTAGGATATGGCTGTAAAGTTTGGAAGTCCATCGTCCATGGTTGAACTGTTAAATATTGGCCATAGATAATCCACGGCCCCTCGGCAAGAACTTTCTCATAATCCTCATCATTTTGGAATCGGGCCAAGAAATAGCCATTCTCCAAATCCATCAAAGTAAAGGGCTGGGATGGTTTCCAGATGGCGTATGTTTTATTAGTAAGAGCGTGCAAACCTATATTACGGCCAAGAAGCTTGAGCACCATCGTTCTCGCCATGCTTGCTTCCATAAGTTTATAAGCACTATCTGAGAATTGAATCGAAGGCAGGCCAAACTGGGTACCCATAATGAAATCCTCGTCCGAGATGTCGATATCATCTTCCTCTGTGTTATGATTTGCAGTTTGAATGGACGCCTCTCCACCTTTCCCTGCTAGGACCGAAGCATAAGACTGTTGCGGTTCCACTGGCATCTCTCCAACGACATCTACTTGTATTACTTCAGTAGTTTCTACTTCCAACGCTGGATTCACTCCTTGATCCGGCTCAAGATCCTTGAATCTCACCTTCTTTGTATTGTCAGAATTAGGCGGGGGCTGCCAAGAGGCTGCCGGAGAGTCAGTACCATCGAGATAAATCTTTTCCTTTTTTCTCCTAGCTAGTGAGTGTGAGAGTGTTTAATTTCAAAGCCCTTTTACAGTGGGCAAAAAGAGCTGAAAGTAGAGGACAGCTCATTTTGGCCGTAGAAACTTCAACACCGATCTTCTCTATTACTGCTCTCTAATTTCCGCCACCGCTTTCTTTTATATAATTATAACCCCACCACACTCTTTCCTCCCTTTTACGAACATTCATATGATCACGAAGCAGCTGTTGAAGTAATTTCGCAGCCACCCAAAGAAGAAAATTACAATGGGATACGACAAGCTCCGACGACCGGAGACCGGAATATCCGGGAACCATCGGCAACAACATGAAGAACCCAGAGGTCAGAATAAGAAGACAAGGCTTGTTATGATTTCATTTATTACTCTGGGAATGATTATCGTCTCGGCTGTTAGTGCGGGGATTGCAATCGTGGTCCGTGAACGAGCTGGATGCGCCACCACGATCCGCCGTAAGCCCACCCAAGCTATTTCCAGGACGTGTAGCAAGACTCGGTTCCCGAACCTCTGTGTTGACTCGCTCCTCCAGTTCCCTGGCTCGCTCAATGCTAGCGAGCAAGACCTCGTCCACATTTCGTTCAACATGACGTTGCGGCACTTCAGTCAAGCACTTTACACAACGTCGTTGATCTCCCCCGTCCGGATGGATCCACAAGTGCGGTCGGCGTACGACGACTGCCTCGAGCTTCTGGAAGATTCCGTGGACGCACTCTCCCGGTCTCTCTCCTCCGTTGTTCCTTCTAAGGACGGCAACGACTCCAAAGGCGTTTCGTCATCCCATGACGTGATGACATGGCTGAGGTCAGCGTTGACAAACCACGACACGTGCACGGAGGGGTTCGAGGGAGTGAGCGGGGAAGTGAAAGATCAAATGGCGGCGAGACTGAAGAACTTATCGGAGCTCGTGAGTAACTGTTTGTCGCTATTCGCGGCGATCGGTAAAGACGATTTCGAAGGAGTGTGATAAGATAGCAATTGATCTATCTAAGAAAGCAATAAAGAAACTGAAAATACTTTGTAATCTTTTTATTATCAAGAAGTTAATCTCTCTTGAATTAGAGAGCAGTATTTATACAGTCTGGAAAGCATATGATTAACAGCTCAACAAACGACTAACAACTTAACAACTTAACTGCTACAATCTAACAAACTATTCTAGAACAAAACTATTCTAGAACTCACAACATATTCATAAGCACAAGCACGTGATCACTAACATTCACCCTGCTTTATCAACCTCTTCAGCACTTGCTTCAGTTTCTGCAGCAAACTTCTTGACTTCAATATTCTCCTTGTCATTCCCACTTTGTAAACCTGTAGGAAGCCCTCTTAGCTGTGTTACCAAGAGTTTTTGTCTGTTCTTGAGAAACGAGGAAGAAGACAATGGCTTTGTCAAAACATCCGCCACCTGCTCATAAGCTGAAACCTCATTAACCTGTAAACGACCATCAGCAACCATTTCTCGTACAAAAAACAAGTCAAGCTCAACATGCTTGAACTTAGAATGCTGAATAGGATTGGCACAGACCGCAACAGTGCTGGAATTATCACACCATAGGGTAGCTTTACCATGTGGAACCACACACAATTCTTGAAGCAATGACTCAATCCAAACAATGTCAGCAGCAGCAGAAGCAACACTCCTATACTCAGCTTTAGCCGTGGAATGAGAAACAACTTGTTGCTTGCGTGAGCTCCAGGAAATGAGATTTCCACCAAAGAAAATGCAGTAGCCAGTCGTGGAACGCCTATCATCAGGATCATACCCCCAATCTGCATCCGCAAAACCAGTCAGAGACATGCGAGACGATGCTGTAAAACGGAGACCATAACCAGCAGTTCCTTGAAGATAACGTAAAATCCTCTTAACAGCCTGAAAATGGCTATTGCAAGGTGACTGCATGAATTGACAAACTTTGTTTACTGCAAAAGCAATATCTGGCCGAGTGACTACTATGTACTGAAGAGCTCCTACAATGCTTCTGTATTAGGCTGCATCTTCAATGGAATCAGCGGCAGCAACTGACAACTTGCAGTTGGAGACCATGGGAGTAGGAAGGCTCTTGACATCTCCAAAACCATGCTTATGCAATAGCTCTCGAATATATTTTGTTGAGTCAAAACAAGACCATCACCATCAGAACACACCTCTATACCAAGAAAGAAATTAAGAGAACCAAGATCCTTTAACGAAAATCGAGAATTCAGTTTTTCAATCACACACTGAATCTCACTAGCATCACTCCCTGTCAAGATGATATCATCTACATATACAAGCATGTAGATAACACTACTAGCTGATTTTCAAACAAACAAGGATGAATCAGATTTAGACAAAACGAACCTTTCAGAGACCAGGTATTCTCGAAGGCTCTCAAACCAGGCCTGAGGAGCTTGCTTCAAGCCATAAATTGCTTTATGCAGCTTGCAAACTAAACCATCACCAGCTTGCACAAACCCAGGAGACTGGGTCATGTAAACCTCTTCCATCAATGCCCCATTTAAAAAGGCATTATTAATATCTACTTGATGCAGCAGCCAACCACTTGTCAATGCAAGAGTAAGAATCACTCGTACCGTTATAGGTTTCACAAGTGGACTAAAAACTTCATGAAAATCAATCCTTGGTCGTTGAAGAAACCCTTTTACAACAAGACGAGCCTTATACCGAGATACTGAGCCATCAACATTACGTTTCACCTTAAAAATCCACTTGCAGTGAACAGGTACACGATCTCTAGGAAGAGGGACCAGAGACCATGTGTTATTTGCAATCAAAGCATCAAACTCTTCATGTGTAGCTTTCTTCCAATGCGGAATCTTAAAAGCTTTTTTAATGGATCGAGGCTCTTCATCAAAGTATTCAATATGTAAAACACGATGTTTTTGAATGCCATCTTTGGCCCTGGTAACCATGGAATGTGTGTTATGAGGGACCCGAGATGGAGGGCAAACAATAGTCTCGGGTACATGTGAAGGTGAGCCTTGTCCATCAACCTCGTGAACTAGAGAATCTCGTGTAGGCAAAACAAGTCCATCACTCTCGTGAACTAAAGGATCACGTGGGCTGGTTGAATTAAAAATATCACACGTTGAATTCAATGGACCATTTGTTAAATTAAATCGAGCATGCACCGAATCCAATGGAGCATCACGCATGGATGAAGAGAACATGGGAGCATTACGCGTTGATGGAGAGCATATAGGACCTTCACGTGGGCTGTTCCCATTCCCAATTCTTTTATTATTCACATTTGTTGGAGCAGCTCCTATTTCCATATGCGCATGAGCTGGTGGCGTGGTCCCAACTCCTTGATTATCAGCATTAGTTGAAGAAAAGACGCAACACGTGGGCCATTTTCAATTAAAAAATCATGTGTTGAATTCAATGGTCCATTTCCAAATGAAACGGCCCCATGCGTATGATCAAATTCACTTGGCGCATTTCCAAAAAATATGGCCCCATGCGTATGATCAAGTTCACTCGGCGTATTTCCAGATGGTATGGTCCCATGCGCATTATCAAAGTCACACACACTCATCGCTTGCTCCTCGACCACAGCAAGAGGTGTGGTCCCAACGTTTTGACAACCATGCATTGTCTGTACAGGAGAGACAAGGGGAATATTAGTTGTGGAGAATGGAGCATTAGTGGATGGGGCAGATGATGGTGGAGCACACGTTGGTGAAGCATGCACTGGTGGTGGAGCACGCGTTGAATTTAGTTAACCATGCGCTGTCTGTACAGGAGAGACAAGAGGAATAATACCCGTGGAGACACCATTATCTAGAGCAACACCTGAAATATTACACACTTCGTAAGGAAAAATACTTTCATCAAATACAACGTGCCTTGAAATTATTACTCTGCCAGTGTCATCCAGACATTTGTATCCCTTATGAGTAGTGCTATATCCTAGAAACACGCACTTCTTTGACCTGAAATCCAGCTTATGACGATTAAACAAACGCAAGCAAGGATAACAAGCACAACCAAACACCCTAAGAAATGAATAATCTAGCAAGAGACGATGCAGAGCTTCAAAGGGAGACTTGCCTTGCAAAACAGATGTGGGTAATCGATTGATAAGATAAACAGCAGAAACAAAGGCATAACTCCAAAATTTCTGAGGTAAAGAAGCTTGAGCTAACATTGTCAATCCTATTCCAAAATTTCTGAGGTAAAGAAGCTTGAGCTAACATTGTCAATCCTGTTTCAATAATGTGCCTATGCTTCCTCTCAGCCTTACCATTCTGCTCCGAGGTACCAGGGCATGAGAGACGATGTTGAACCCCGTTGGCACATAACCATTTTCGAAGTGGTTGATACTCCCCACCACCATCAGTCTGCAGTACTTTAATTTTATATCCAAATTGTACTTCAAAAAATTTTGCAAAATCAAGAAAGCATTGAGCCACCTCAGATTTACGTTTCAAAAGATACACCCAGGTATAACGACTACAAACATCGACAAAGGAGACATAATAAAGAAATCCCTCAGTGGAGCATACAGGAGCTGGTCCCCATACATCAGAGACAACAAGTTGAAAAGGCTCATTATATTCAGTCAAAGATTTACAAAAGGGCAACTTATGAGATTTCCCTTGCATACAAGCAGAACACATATTCACTGCTTCAGTTTTATTGAAAACAAGACTACACGACTTCAAAACACGCTGAACAATATCAAGAGATGGATGGCCAAGACGCTGATGCCACAATTTCAAAGACACATGTGACTTCGAGATATTATTCACCAAGCAAGAAGACCTCTGATCCGTACAAGGCAGCAGTTGATACAACCCGTCATCCGTTAGCCTCCCTCGAAGTAGAATTACTTGAGTCCGAGCATCCTTCACAAGACATTCAGAAGGGTGAAATTCCATGAACACACCATTATCACGAGTGAACTGAGAAACAGACAACAACTTTTTCTTTATGTTACGTACGTGCAACATATTTTGTAAAATTAAAGGCTTCCTATTTGAGCTAAAAAATCCTTGACCAACATGTGTAATTGGAATACCATCACCATTACCCATGAGCAAGGAATTACCACCCGTATAAAGAGTACCTGATTGAAACACAAACATATCATTTGTTACATGATGTGTAGAACCAGTGTCAGGATACCACAAGGAGTCAGTCAATACTGAAGAACAAGTCCCGGAATCCATTGGAACAGAGGACGCATATGCTGCTGAACCAGAAGAGAAGCCAGTAAAGGAGTAATATCCAGGAGCATACGTGGAAGGAAAATAAAATGGAGTGTGAACAAAGTTTGAACGAGAAGGCATGGAGGTTAGGTTGTGAGAATAGGGTTGTCTACCAGACTGTACATATTTAGCAGAGTTCCCAGCACCAGTGGACTTCAAGCCATTCTTAGTCAATGACTCAGACCCATATACACCAGTGTAGTCTCTATCGAAACGATGATAACACTTTTGGACCACATATCCAAATTGGCCACACAACTGGCATTGAGGACGATTATTATTACGCCCTCGACCTCGACCATGATACTCATTCGATTGTCCATGAGATGGATGACCCTGTGAAGACCCAGTATTAGCATCCTGAGTTCCACAATAATCAGTTTCAGCAGCACCACCTTCTCGAGAGTGAAGAACAAGATTTGTAGAAAAGTCTTCACTCAAAAACACCTTCTGTCGAGCCTCACAGTCTAACAACATCTCAGTAAGAACATCAAGAGAAAAATTTTCTCGTGACACAATTGCAATAATAGACTCAAACTCCACTGTAAGTCCAGCTAACACAACATTAACTTGTTCTTGCTCAGTAACCACACTACCTGAAGCATTTAACAAATCACATATGGATTTGACTTTAGGAAGATACTCCTTAATCGTCAAACCAGTCTTTCGTTGGGAATGAAGATTATGCCGAAGAGAATAAATCTTGGCACTGGAACGAGCACCAAACAGACGAGATATAGTATTCAGATTGACATCGTAGTTGTAAGTCCAGTCAAGTGAGGCAGAACCTTTGTACTCACAGTAGTTAAAAGCCATGAAGCAAGCAGTTTATCTTGCTGGCAATAAGCTGCAAACACTGGATTCTCTTCAAGTTGTCCAGACGCATTAGTGATGAACTCATCTGGTGCAACAAAACCAGCAGAGATGAACCTCAGTAACCCATAGCCATCAATTATCAAAGCCACTTGATGCTTCCAAAGAAGGTATATGGATTCAGTGAGTTTAACAATATCATGCTTTGGTATGTGTTGAATGCCAAACATACCTCGAGAAGTTCTCGGACACAGGGAAGAAGCATTTGGAGACACATCCTTGGGATCAACCGTCAAATCAACCATGATGCCAAGAATCACACCAGACGAGAGAGCTTAATCTCGTGCAGCTACTGAAAAGAAGAAGAAACAGCGGAAGAAACACACCCATGTATTAGCAAAAGATACCATGATAAGATAGCAATTGAGCTATCTAAGAAAGCAAGAAAGAAACTGAAAATATTTTGTAATCTTTTTATTATCAAGAAGCTAATCTCTCTTGAATTAGAGAGCAGTATTTATATAGTTAGGAAAGCATATGATTAACAGCTCAACAAACGACTAACAGTTCAACAACTTAACTGCTACAAGCTAACAAACTATTCTAGAACAAAACTATTCTAGAACTCACAACATATTCATAAGCACAAGCACGTGATCACTAACAGAGTGTCGGTGCAGAACAGGAGGTTGCTTGCGTCTGGTGGTGAAAATGTTGACGGGGAACAACAATTCTCGAAATGGTTGGGGAGGAAGGAAAGGCAATTGTTGAACACTCCAGTGTCGGCAATCCAGGCTGATATACTTGTCTCGAAAGACGGAAACGGCACCGTTAAGACGATTAACGAGGCGATTAAAAAGGCGTCGGAACATAGTACTCGGCAGATCATCATTTACGTGAAGGCAGGAAGGTAAATTACTGTTATAATAGTTTTAAATCCAGATTTACAACAATATTTTTTTATCAAACTATAATTAAATTGATTGAATTAAATAATTAACATCAAATTAAGTAGAAATTTCATAATAATTAAAAATATTTTTTTATTTTTTAACATTATATTACATATATATTGTGATTTTCAGGTATGAGGAGGAAAATTTGAAGGTGGGAATGAAGAAAATAAACTTGATGTTTATTGGCGACGGAAAGGGTAAAACAGTAATTTCGGGAGGTAAAAGTGTATTTGACAACATGACGACGTTCCACACCGCTTCCTTCGATAAGTCTGCCTTTCTATTAGTAGTACTTTATATTTTTGTGTAAATTTAGGTACTGAAATGTATATTTACCCTTTCTTTAAATCCTCCTTGGTAAATATAAGTTTTAAAGTGCACACACTGGACCAAAACCTTTTAAGACATGCATGATGTTGATGTTGATGTTGATGTTGATGTTGAAGTTGCACGTGGGCAGTTATTCTAGAGAGACAAAGTACTAGATTCCTACACCCACCTTACCCAACCTTATCTTTCCCTGCATTTTCTCATTCGAGTTTTAAAATTAATTTATAAAAAAATGAAACTTTAATTTTAAATTTGATCGAGATATATTTTTATATTAAAAAAGTTTACTATTTTTTAAGTTAAAATTCACCACTTTATTGGCATATGGGCCATGGGGTTATCTACTAGCCCTAAATGGGCATGTGTTATTGTCAACTAATCAACTGTTCTTTTCATTTATTCGGATTTGAGTCTCAGATATAAAAATTTAAGATGATTGTATTAATGTATCGATAATGAAAAATTATATAGGACATAGATTAAACATTAATGTTTGCCTTCATTTTTTTTTCTTGAGGAACTTGAATGTATTCATCGAATGTTTTGAGTTTCTTTTTCTTTTTACAGCAGCAACCGGGGCTGGTTTTATTGCAAGAGACATGACATTTGAGAACTGGGCCGGACCAACCAAACATCAGGCTGTGGCTCTTCGTGTCGGGGCGGACCATGCCGTGGTTTATCGTTGTAACATCATTGGGTACCAGGACACTCTATATGTTCACTCCAACAGACAATTCTACCGTGAATGTGATATTTATGGCATGGTTGATTTCATCTTCGGTAATGCCGCTGTGGTGCTCCAGAACTGTATCATTTACGCTCGGGAACCAATGGCCTTACAAAAGAACACGATAACGGCTCAAAACCGAAAAGATCCGAATCAGAACACAGACATTTCAATCCATGCATCTCGGATTCTACCCACTTCGGGTCTCGTCGGAACCAACAGTAGCTTCCAAACATATGTAGGTCGTTCGTGCAAACTGTATTCCAGGACCGTGGTCATGATGTCTTACATGAGCAACCACATTCACCCTAGGGGATGGCTCCAGTGGAACGACACATTTACCTTGGATACACTATATTACAGCGAATACAATAATAACGGGCCGGGAGCGGCAATCGGGCAACAAATCGGGTGGTCCAGGTATAGAGTCATTACATCAGAGGTCGAAGCAAGCAAATTTACAGTTGAACAGTTCATTTATGGGTCATCATGGTTACCATCAACTGGGGTTGCTTTCTTGGCTGGTTTACAAATTTAAAATTTTAGTGTTCATTTATAGATCAACAGATGGCTAGTGCTGTTAAAGTTTTTTTAATCAATCTGATAAGATTTTAAATATGAAAATTATTGTGTAATTCTACTTTCAGTCCATGTACTATTTGAGAATTTAAAAATTAACCTCTCTACTTTTAAATCCTAGATTTTAATTCCATTATTCTTTTGATTTACTAGTTGAACTTAAATTCATAATTAGGACTATAATATACATATTATTTTTTATAATTAGGGCTAGAAATATAGTCGTTAGAGATTAAATATAATCGTGATGATAATTTGTTATTTGTCTTGTCAAAATATTTTTAAAAGAAAATAATATTATGTTAAATGAAAGTCGAGTATCAGAACTCATGCATGTATCATATAAAATAAATGTAACTATTATTGCGTAATTCAACAACGACATAAATGTTATTGGAGCCTAAGGAGGTGCCTAAGAAAGTGACATGTATGCTTTGATTTTTACTTGATGTGTCATCTCCCTTGGATTTTTACCTATTGTCGCTGCAACTGTGTTGGGCATGTGAGCCTGCCTCGGTGTTTATCTTCAAAGCTATGTCGGTGTCGGTGACTTGGGTTGTTGATTTCACAATTCAATGCTTATTATTGCTTAGCTGCTTCCTTCCTCATCGAAGCAACCCCGCCGGGGCATTACGGGTTGTCGGATCGCCTCCATTACATAATTTAAAATAGGGTAAAGTATACTATAGATCACTAAAGAATATTAAAATAATTTTTTTATCAATGAATATTTTAATATTAATAAAATAATTATTATTTTTTATAAAAAATTATACTATGATTATTAAAATTAATCCTCAAATTATGACACTCATTTTATATTAATCTCCAAAGTTTTGAATATTCTACTTTTATATCTAAACTTTTGAATTATTTAGGGAAAAGCTATTGGAATGTTTAAAATTTTGGATCATAATTTAGAATAAGGGTCATAATTTAAGGATCAATTTAGAATATTCAAAAGTTTAATTTTAGAATAACGGTCATGATTTGAGGATAAATTTAAAATATTTAAAAATTTAAAATTCGATTTAAAACGAGGGCAATTGTTTAAAGACTATATTACAATTAACTCTTAAAAAATGAAAATTTGAGAACTCCATTAAAGTAAGAGTCGGACTTTTTATTTCAAGGATTGGATTGAAAATATATCTAAAAGAGAGAAATAACTGTCTTTATTACAAAATTTTGTGATGCTCAACAACAATGAACACTCGGAGAAACATTAGACGGCTGTGTACAGACGAGAGTGCTGACCTCAGAATTTTAAGAACAATTCAACAGCTGTTTGATCTTCGTTCTTCATACCTCAGGTTCCTCAGCTTCATAATTCGATGAGATTAGCGTAAAACATTTTGACAAAGTCCGGTATTAATCTCCATTGCCGTCGACACAGAGTTCTGAATCTTCAATCTCAGTCCGAACCACGAAACTGGGGAATGCAAGGCTTATATCCCTGCAAAAGGCATCAAAACAGTTGATGTTGAGTGCATTTAGGACTAGCTACGTTACTTGTATTAAGTTAGATAGATGTATCGAGCATCGACTATGAGTATGCTTCTAATACAGGCATGTCCAAATATCCAGTTCCGGATTTGCATTGGATACCAGTGTCGAAAAATGAAGGGTCGGATCAACATAGTTCGTCCTACTGCTAAGTTGCTACATGTTACCGAGTTTAAAAATAGAGTCTACTCACTTCAAATATGGGAGAGTCATGATCTTTATGAGAGATGGATATTTTGATACAAATGCTTTCCACTCTTCTGGATCAATTCTGCCATCACCTTTCGTGTCTGCTTCACTGAATGTCTGTGGAAAACATGGAAGAAACGGAGATTAAGAATGTCTGTATCAAATACGGATGGATCGGATAGTTGAACGGTTAGAGAAATCTGCACCTTATCCACAATTGTTTCAACAGCATCCTCTGAAATAACTAAATCTGATTCATGCAAAAGTGCCAAAACCATTTCCTTCAACTGTGAGTTAAGTTTTAGTTATTATCAACAATAAACTATCCTTATATAATGAAACTCGGTAGGTATACGAACCTCCTCACGCATGATAAAGCCGGTTTGTTTTAGGTCATAAAGCCTGAAAGCAACTGCAAAAGGATTGTTTCAACTTAGAACATATATTGGAAGAAAGGATCATCACTTGTTGATGTCTATTATTGAAGAAAAAATCATGAAAATTGACCTTACATGCTATTTTGTCAGCCACGGGTGCATTGGGGTGAAAGACACCCAATGATCGAACAAACTCCCCGAACTCAATGACCCCATTACGTTTGATATCAAACAAATCAAAAATCTGTGAATCCATAGGCAATGATATTAGCAAAGATGGGACTATAACATTGCAGAAGAAAGATATGTTCTTGTTCGAGTGATCTATCATTATGAATAACTAATTACTCCTATGTTTCAGCAGAAAAATAGAGTTAGATACTGAATACAAGCAATCTGGAAGCTAAAATTACACACCCTGTCTGCAAAAAGATTCCTCTGATTTTTGTTCCTGAAGAGGGCAAGCTGAAACTCTTCCTATCGGAAAAAAAAACAGCATAGAATTTGTCAAAAAATAAAAATTAGTTATGTCCAATTATGACTTGACTTGAGAATCTTAAATGTTGAATAATTATACCTTGTGAATAAGCCCATCGGCAATTATCGAATTGCTTAGTTTCATAAAAAGCTCATACAAGGCCTCTACTTCACTAACCGTAACTGCAGACAATAGAAAATAGTTCATGCTCCGACTAACCAACTGAATATCTATTTCAAACAGAAATTATCCTGGGATGCGAGTGCTAATATTTATGAGGAGTTTTGAATAGACATATGACTCATATCCATATACACATATTCGAAAAAGTGGATGTCAGACACGGAAACTTAAAAAATAAATTAAGGGTTAGAGCAACATAGGTGGTAATAAATTTAAAACTCCGAACTTGTTCTCAATTTGTAGATGTCTAAACTAAATTGTACTTGGATAATACATGTCTAGATAACAGCTTAATACATGCTGAGAATCTAAATTGATTTATGAGCGGTAATATTGGAAAGACAAAACCAAGTGGAGACGAACTTTGATAGCATAGTCTTTGTTGCTTAGACTCGAGATGAATGTTCAATATCAGTATGTGTTCGATACAGGTATATTCAAATGTGTCTGGGACAAATACTTTAGAAAAATAAAAAAATCCAAGCAACAAAAGGCATATTTGCGAGCTACATGAAGAACCAGAATTGCTACTCACAAGGTGTTTCGGCAGCAAGAACATTTGGGTCTTCATAACCGGGGACACGTTTGATTCTCTTCGAGCTTCCACAGCCCATGACAACAACCAATGCTATTCAGTCACAAAAATTGTCAACAATACACTCATTTGCAGCAAAAGGTTGACCTGCCAATACCAAAAGGATTTATATTTATCAACAATTACTAGATATTTTAAACAGTAACATAGTCTTGAATCAAAATGTCGACTATCACGAATATTAAAAAGGAAAAAGGACCGCTAAAAAGCTTCCACATGTTGAAACCGAAGAATAATTAAATGAGAAAACATATTTGAATGCAGGACATCCTACAAATCTGTAAGTGTTTAAGGGAACTACCCCAGCACAAGATTATGCAATGATTCCAAGACATGGAAAGCAAAAGAGTAGCATTCACCTATGGTCACCAATTACAAGCATGATTATTCGGGTTCAGGTGTGACTATCGGATACGGTTATATTGCGGGCATGGATTTATCTACTTTAAAAAAGAAATCAATTATAGCAAGTAAAGGCTTGTAGTAAAACCAATTAGCTGTAAATGGAACTTTTCAATTGGAAATAAAGATTACAAGTAATCCAAGACCCAATCTGAATAAAGAGCACATGGAACACAGAATCTAACCTAGGGGATACTCTGGCATCTTTTAATCACTGTACTAAAAGAGGTAATAGCTTGGAATAAGAGAAAATATTAGTATAGATGTTAATAAGATTCGAGAGCTAGACGGATGAACAAATTAAGTTAAACTCTGATATTTTCTGAACTTAAGAAAATCAAATCCTAGATATTTCAACTTGTAGGCTTCGTTAACTTGAATTTATTGGGTGAAATCATCGAACTCAACGAAGATTTCTACCCAGGACAAACATTTTCAAATACTAGAATTGGGACCATTGGCAAATTACATAAAGCATGGTCCGGTTCATTGAATATAAAATTCAAAAGAAATAAAAGTAAAAAAAAACACTTTTGGTCTTTTTCCTTTTTGTTTTCTCAGCAACCAAACAGAAGTTGTATTCAATTTGTTTATGATGTAATTACTATTTCTATTGTCTTCTAACTAATGTGATGTATGAACCACCAAAAATATCCTGCGGTTCAGTTAGCCTCTAACATCTGTCATTTGAGTAAAGAATAACTAACAAAAAAGATTATATTCTGAGCTTCTTTATCATCATTATGAAAAGAAGCTAGAAACCGGAATCTCTTCAAGAATCAAAATGAAAAAATAGGAAGGAATCATATATACCCAGAAAAGGTTTAAATCCAAAGGAGCTGACTGCAGCTACCATCTTTTTTATTCTGATGTTCTCGACTTTTCTCAGCAAACAAACAAGAAACCAACTACCCAGAAAGTTTAAAAGAAAAACGAAAATGACCAATTGAAAGCGAATCCATTTCGACCGCTGAAAAGAAGCCTCAAACAAAGATGACCCCAGAATCTAGGAAACAAAGCAATGTAAACAAAGAACAAAAGAATTAACTACCGATTACTTGCTTGACCGATGCAGCTGGAGCTTGATTTGATCTTAACGCTTTCTCCTTCTTGAATCTTTCTGGAGCTCAGGACTTAGCTTATATATTTCGATTATATTACCAGCCTTAAGCTTGTTTCTCGACTCTTCTCCCTCGTATCAGAACCTGGAAAAATGAAGCTATATGAATTGAATATAGAGCGTACTACATATTTATATATAATTCGATATAAATTTATTATTTTCACAAGCTGGCTGTCATTTTGTCACCTTTGATTTGATTTATTTCAACATTTGTTCTTTCTCTTTTATTTATTTATTTTTACCAAAAAAATAAAAATTTCGTCAAATTTGCTTCACCTTTGAGAGACAAAAAAAAAACGCATCACGTCTACCGTTAGAAAAATAACCATTTGGTTGGAATTTGATTTAATTTAAATTATTATTTAAACTTTATTTTAAAATTTGAATCAAATGTGAAATGAGACTAATATTTATTAATTTTTTATATTTCTATAATGATGGGTTTGATGTTAAAAACTTAATTAAAAATAATATTTTTAATTAAAATTGACGTCAATCGAAAATTAAAATAAGGATCAACTTGTGTAACACCCTCAGACCGATACGGGTGACCTGATTCGATCCGAGGTGTCACATTAGGACACTAGAGCGACTCACAATAAAAATAATAGAGAAATTTAAATTTTTTATTAAAACATATAAAAATACAAGTGTATAAATCTTTCAAATTGTAAAACAGAATTCATTCATACCTTCCATCATAAAAGTTTTAAACTCAATATAAAAATCAAATGTGTCATACATACCCCCTAATTACACTTATACCATACTCTATAAGCAAAGCCGGAGGAACTCCCATAACTAAAGTCGATAGCTGCATTGGATCGATATTTTAACCTGAAATGGTGAATAACAGAGTGAGCTTTGGGAAGTTCAATAATACAGAACTATCAGATGATGCTGAAGGACATGTAGATAATTAACAAGTATAAAAATTTTCTTATTGATTCAAGCATCTATAGGATTTCATGATGAGTTGAGGTTCCACTGATATTTGTTTAAGTAAAAGACAGGAAGCTCACAGTTCAGAAAAAAAGTTTAGAGGATCAGGTTCAGGAGATCGACATAAGATGTCTAGTGTGTTCCCACAAATCCATAATAATTAAAATCATAGATTAAAATAGTAGTATTTTATTTCAGTAAAACAAATTTTTAAAATCACTACAACACCCTTCACCCGAACACTCTATATGCAGTTCCCCAACACTGCATCTATAAGGGCATACCCTAAGCACACATCAAATGAGCCACTCTAAGGGAGTACCTTGGGGCCTATGGGTCTACCCAAGGGTCACCTTAGGTCCGTAAGGAATTACCAGCTTGATCAGAGTTGAACCTCCGTACTGCAGACTCCTACCCATACAGTATCCAGTAGAAATCATATTGAACAATAAGCTATAATATCAAAATAATGATCCAAAAGAATCTTGTAAAATTGACAATGTAGTTATTTAAATCACATAAACGCCCTAAACCCAGACACCATATGCAATTCCCAAGAATTGCATCCATAAGGACTTACCCTAAGCCCAATGGACCTAAGAGTTAACCTAAGGGAATGCCTTGAGGCCTGAGAGCCTACCCAAGGTCACCTTAGGTCCGTAAGGAATTACCAGCTTGATCAAATTTTAACCTCCATATTCCATAATCCTACCCAGACAGTATCCCAATAATCGGTTCATATTGTAAACAGAAAATTTCATGATCCATAAATCAGACATAATTATATTTTCCAGTAGAAACATTTAACCAAATGAAATATATCATGTAGTCATAGTTCACAGTCAGTAAATCAATAAATCAGTAATTCAGAATTTTGAAAAGTTAAAAGAGTTAGTAAATCAATAACTTCGGTAAATCATATTCTAGGACCGATAAAAATCATATAATACATAGGGAATACACTAGAAAATTCAGTTATTTTTCGGAGGCACGTAGTAATTATAAGAAAGGGGAACACGAGCTTCTGTAAGTTGATTGGATTTCAGAAATGGGATCCCTACTAAAAAGGGGTTTAATTGCTAACATATCTAAACATACATTCATATATTGATGCTTCAGGACCATTTAAGATTTCAGGTGTATCATAAAGGTATTTAGGAACCTTTACATCAGAATAAATTAAGATTTCAGATATAACCAAAGTGATTCCATTATTTATGCCAGGGTATTTCAGATACTTTGATTTCTAATGGATTCTTAGCAACTTAATTCAATACGGGTGAAATGATGATTTATGATATTTAAGATTCATGTCGATTTATCAGGATATCGGTCAACTCGAACTGAATAAATCCCAACACTGCGATACCTTTCAACCACTCAAATCGATGCACTTCAATAAGATTCACACTTTTAATAATGACAATGCTAGTCAAATTGATCATCTTCAGAACCATCGTTGAATGAATCTTGAGGAACTGTATGTATTCCGATAGTATTTATTTTATTTATATTGCAACAGTCTCCAACATGACCGACATACTTGAGTCGTAATCTACAAACTTTAGGGGCGATATAATACTTAGGTTTTCTCGGTGTTTCCAGAATTATCAAATAACATTCACTTATTTCTAGGTCATAAGGGTAGTCAGGTGTCCACTCTTTGTTAGTACTATAAATGAGTGCGGATATGTGTGCAAGTATACACAATCAAACAAGTAATAAAGTGATAAGTTGAGTATCGTCTCCATAGGGAATTAGAGAAATCAAATAGATTTGTCAAGGCACTTTACTTTGTCACCTAAGTAAAGTTAATGATGATATATACAAATGAAATGTTGTGGCAAAATAGAATGACTGATGCGGAAATAGAATGATAGTAGTGCAGTAGCAATTGGATATGTTGTGGCAATTTAAATTGTGATGCATACAAACAAATGGAAATGTCAAGGCAAAATAAAATGCAATTACTGGATATAATAAATATAGGACTTTAGCTTTCTCAAATGACAAGCAGCAATGGGAATGAGTGATGGGAATCACCAGGAAAATCTAAGTCTATTTCTCTGAATGGTATCTCTTCTATGCCTAGCTGCCCGACAGAGTATACTAAGGTGCCCTATGCTATCTCTAGTAAGGGACTCGACAGATTAAAGATGCCCTGGCAAAACCGATTGGCGTAAACCCCTGCAGTGATCCTATTGGTACAGATAACAGGATATGTCTCGACAATACTTTTTTGTGGCAGCATTAACATCTAACCTATCGTTTAATCACCACTCATTTTAGTCGAATGAAATCATATCCTTATCTCTAAGGTGGATTAAGCCTAGTTACTATCTAGAACCCCTTGTTTATGTAGTTCCTCCCTAGTTTCTCTCGAATACTAAGGATATTTTGCCAAGGTATTCTCTCGAACCCAAAGAACCTCCTAAGGAAAGGTTACTCTCGTAGCTCCTACAACCTTAAGGCTTTAAGTTTCACAAACAAAACAGAATAAAGCATAGAAAATCAACCATTCATTGAAATAAAAACTTAAACATCCAAGCGAACTCCCACCAAATAGGATTAGTTCATGGTGGGGTTCGAAATAAACAAGCACAAAGCAAGTTTCATTCATTCCTTACAACCCAATAACAAAATATGAAAGCAAGAACAAAGGGGAGGAGTAAAAGCCTTAAACGTGCACTGCCAAATGCTTTCCTCGGCCACCAAGAACTGCACCCCAGCGAACTAGCTCCTCTCGGATGCTTAGAACGCCACTCCCTCTGGCTTGTCAAGGAGAAATACCACGACAAGTAGGATTGACGGAGAATAGTGAGACCTTCTTTCTCTAACTTTTTAAGCTCAAAATAGTGGGGAACTAAAGTCTCTAACCATGTGGCTTCATCCTTTATTTATAGGAGAAAACTAACCCTTAAACTAAGAGTTGACTTTCCCCAAACCATGGTTAAATTACTTGGGAGTCGGGCAAAACAGGTGATGCTACAGCCTGGGTAACTGGCATGAGTGATCGGCATAATCTCGTTCCAGGCGCCCAAGGATAAACATGATCTGCAGGGTCAGGCGGCGTCATCAGCAGAACCGGCGGTTGTAGTGCCGGTCCCTCCAGACATATCTTCGAGGTGGATTTCTCGGGCAGAGGGAGCGGATAGTCGGGGACAGCTGGCTAGAAAATATCTTCTTTCACCTTATGTGCTCTCTAAATGCCAGTCGATGTTGGCATTTTTATTTAGCTCAACAATCTCTTTATGTCACAACATTTTCTTTCCTCTTTTCCTTGCTCTCAATACCTGCACATCATCAGACAAACACCTTTCCCATAAGGCAGCACCGCTGTAAAAATAAAATGCCACAACAAACCGAAATCCACCACATGCAACTAAATGCTTCTAAATGCATCTACATGGCTCTAAACGAGCCTTTAGCAAAACAAAAATACCATGATAAGTTCAGAAGCAAAATAGTTTTATGGAATAAAATTTCAGCCCTCAGCACATACGACTTCAACATGCTAGACTAGGTTTGAGAATTCAAGTACTGTGCCCTAGAACAAAGTTCTTTGTGTGGGTGTGTGCGTGTTTGTATCCAGTCCATACTTAACAAACCTAAAAATTTTCTACGCAAGCTTTCTTAATTTGCCATGACAATCACAAAATCTACTCCCACCTTGCTTTCCTTTCTTTTATTAATTCTGCTACGAGGGGAGTCAGCCCATCACTCTACCATCCCACACTCTAGGTGAAAGGGAGCATACCTTCCACCCTCGAGCTAGTCAAGTAAAGTCATCCTGTGACATCTTTCATTCACTCATATGCCATGGCATAGCAGAGTGTCCCTCTATAGATATGCCGAAGCATTTATTCATAACTTCATTCATTTTTCAATATATAATTTTTTTAAAAAACACATAACTATGGGGTTTCAGCAGTCAAAGTTTAATGCCACGACATTTTAAGAATTCTCTTATAAAGAATTTCTAAGTTTCTCAAGCATGGAAAACATACAATCATGTATTAAAAGATTTCAAAGAAATAAGTCCTAGAGTTGGTTCTATCATTCTCAACCAGTCATGTACATTCTAACTTAGCCATCAAAATCATCATCATCATCG